CAGATTCTCCAGCATCTGCAGTTCCTACTAACTCTCACTAATCACCTTACTGTACATTAAGGTCATTTCAGAGATGACCACAAGACTACTCAGACCACTAGGTATCACTTGTCTCACTACAGACGGACAAACAGGGGCATGAATTTGACTGGGACAACATGCCCATAATCGCACAAGCCAAACAGAGACACGCCAGGGAATTCCTGCAGGCCTGGTAATCTAACCAGAACTCCAACAAACACATTGAATGAGATCCTGTGTATAAACCATTGAAACAAAACTGGGAGTGGTACCAAACACCCCAGCAAACTGAGGCATACAAGTAACAAGCAGGACAGAACACCGATGCTTCACTGGAGGCGCACTGACGATGTTAACTAGCAAGGTGACGAAATATTCACAACCAACCCACCAGCTCAGCGAGCAAGTCTACAACCTCACCCACAACCCAAGCTATAAATCTTCTCAAAAACTTTTAAAACAAAAAGTAAAATGGAACCGATGGGAGGTTACCTGGTATGCATCCAACAGCCTTTCACCAGGCAAGGAACATACAGGAAAACCACAGAAAAGAAAAAAGAAAACCAAAATAAAAAATGTGAATTAAGTCACACCGCAAGCAATTCCATGGCATTATTCAAAATTAGGAATTTCTCTTGCTGCCTTAATCAACATTCTTTCAGCCATGGACACCAAAAATCAGATTGGCCTGGATTATCTATTGGCCAGACAATAGTTACGCATGTATAGTTATGTAGGTAGGAGTTTTGCATGGGGGCCTTGCGAAATCCCCATTATAGCACACTCTGCAGGAATTGCCCGGGAAGTAGAATGTTCCCCTGGGCAATTCCAGTAAGCTTGAAAATAAAAGTCTCCATGACATCGTGGTGGGGCAGGCAATAAACATAGAAATAGCTAATGCATGTAAAAATGGTACAGCAATTATCATGGGGGATTTTAATCTACATATTGATTGGTCAAACCGGGTTGGTCATGGCAGCCTTGAAGAGGGGTTCACAGAATGCATCTGCGATAATTTCCTTGAACAATATGTAATGGAACCTACGAGGGAGCAAGCTATCCTAGATCTAGTCCTATGTAATGAGACAGGAATAATTAATGATCTCACAGTTAGGGATCCTCTCGGAAGGAGCGATCACAGTATGGTCAAATTTAAAATACAGATGGAGCGTGAGAAGGTTAAATCCAGTACCAATGTCCTGTGCTTAAACAAAGGAGACTGTGAAGGAATGATGGAGGAGTTAGCTAAGGTAGGAAGGGAGCAAAAACTTTATGGTGGGTCAAGTGAGGAACAGTGGAGGACTTTCAAAACAATTTTTCACAGTGCTCAGCAGAAGTATATTCCAGTGATAAGGAAGAACTGTAGGAAAAGAGAGAGCCAGCTATGGATGTCTAAGGAAATAAAGCAAAGTATCAGATTGAAAAAAAACACATATAAAAAAGCAAAGAGTAGTGGGAAACTAGTAGACTGGGAAATCTTTAAAGGCCAACAGAAAGCCACAAAAAAAGTTATAAAGGAAAGTAAGATAGATTATGAGAGTAAAGTAGCTCAGAATATAAAAACAGGCAGCAAAAGTTTCTATAAATATGTAAATCGTAAAAGAGTGGCGAAGGTAAATGTTGGTCCTTTAGAGGAGGAGAAGGCCAATTTAATAACTGGGAATGAGGAAATAGCTGAGGCATTAAACAATTATTTTGTGTCGGTCTTCACAGTGGAAGACACAAATAACATGCCGAAAACTAATGGCAAGAAGGTTATAGCAGGTGAGGACCTAGAAACTATTATCACTAAGGAGGCAGTGCTGGGCAAGCTAATGGAGCTAAAGGTAGACAAGTCTCCTGGCCCTGATGAAATGCATCCTAGGGTCCTAAAAGAGGTGATGGGGGAAATAGCAAATGCACTAGTAATTATTTACCAAAATTCACTGGACTCTGGGGTGGTTCCCGCAGATTGGAAAGCCGCCAATGTGACGCCACTGTTTAAAAAAAGGAAGTAGACAAAAAGCAGGTAACTATAGGCCAGTTAGCTTAACTTCGGTAGTGGGGAAAATGCTTGAATCTATCATTAAGAAAGAAATAGCAAGACATCTGGATATAAATTGTCCCATTGGGAACACCCAGCATGGGTTCATGAAGGGTAGGTCATGTTTAACTAATTTGGTGGAATTCTTTGAGGACATTACTTGCATGGTGGACAATGGGGAACCTGTGAATGTGGTGTATCTAGATTTCCAGAAGGCATTTCACAAGATGCCACACCAAAGGCTGCTACATAAGATAAAGTTGCACTGTATTACAGGTAATGTATTGGCATGGATAGAGGATTGGTTGACCAGTAGAAAGCAAAGAGTAGGGGTAAATGGGTGTTTTTCTGGTTGGCGGTCAGTGGCTAGTGGTGTGCCTCAGGGATCAGTGTTGGGACCTCAATCGTTTACAATTTACATAGATAATTTGGAATTGGGGACTAAGCGTGGTGTGTCAAAATTTGCAGGTGATACTAAGGTAGAGCAAAGTGTGCAGAAGACACAGTCTGCAGAGGGATATAGATAGTCTAAGTGAGTGGGCAAAGGTCTGGCAGATGGAGTACAGTGTTGATAAGTGTGAGGTCATCCATTTTGGTAGGAATAACAGCAAAATGGACTATGTTTTAAATGGTAAAAAAAATTGCAGCACGCTGCTGTGCAGAGGGACTTGGGTGTCCTTGTGCATGAAACCGCTGAAGGTGGGATTGCAGGTGCAGCAGGTAATTAAAAAGGCAAATGGAATTTTGTCTGTCATTGCTCGAGGGATGGAGTTTAAAAACAGGGAGGCTATGCTGCAGCTGTATAGGGTCCTGGTGAGGCCACACCTGGAGTACTGTGTGCAGTTTTGGTCTCCTTACTTGAGAAGGGATACACTAGCACTGGAGGGGGTGCAAAGGAGATTCACTCAGTTGATTCCAGATTTGAGAGGGTTGGATTATGAGGAGAGACGGAGTAGACTGGGATTATACTCATTGGAATTCAGAAGAATGAGGGGAGATCTTATAGAAATATATAGGATTTTGAAGGGAATAGATAAGGTGGAGGCAGGGAGGTTGTTTCCGTGAGCAGGTGAAACTAGGACTAGAGGGCATCGCCTCAAAATAAAGGGAAGCAGATGTAGGACTGAGGTCAGGAGGAACTTCTTCACCCAAAGGGTTGTGAATCTGTGGAATTCCCTGCCCAGTGAAGCGGTTGAAGCTACCTCGCTGAATGTTTTTAAGGCAAGGCTAGATAAATTTTTGAACAGTAAAGGAATTAAGAGTTATGGTGAGTGGGCGGGTAAGTGGAGCTGAGTCTCAAAAAGATCAGCCATGATCTTATTAAATGGCGGGGCAGGCTCGAGGGGCTGGATGGCCTACTCCTGCTCCTAGTTCTTATTTAAATCTCCACTGCTGGATGCAACCCGACACTTAACTTGCTACCTTGCATAATGGCACCCTACCAACTTGTCACTAAATCTGGCACCAAACCAGGGCTCCCCAGTAAGCACCCTACCACCATTACCCTACCATATCCTAACTAGCACCCTGCTCTGGCAGGCTAACACCTCTCTATTTGGCACCATTCCCAGTTGACACCATTCCCAGTTGACACCCTAAAATCATACTTAGCTTACAGTTTGAAAGTAGCTGTTAAAATGGCTGTCAGGATCTTGACATTTCAGAATACTGCAGCTGACTACCATGAAAAGAGGACATGGTTTGCCTTCTGAGAGTCCCTTGCAACAAAATAATGGTCAGAATACAAGTAAAACTTCATATTTCTGGAGGAAACCATGAGCGGAATCTGCTCTTAGAAACAGAGCTCCCTTCTTCCATAAAGATTAAGGGCTGGTATGACAATCTGCTTGGTGATTGACACTCCTCAGAAAATCCAGCCCATCAACGTGATATTCAGGATATTTGCTGTTTGTAAGATATTGCTAAGTGCAACTTGCTGCTGTGATTATAAAAGCAAATGTATTACCTTAGCTGAACATTTTTCAGAGCTAAAGATGCTGTAGTGATTGTAACAAGGTCAGCCTGGTGGACCTCAGAATACGAGTTCCCGGTTTGGACCCGGTTAACAGCCCCAGTCAGGGCAGCCTGGCTGACAGATATAAGCAGGCGTGTCAGAGATTCTGTTCATCCTGAGAACTGGCTCAGAGGAAGCCGGACCAATGTGAAGTACCATGCATGTGTAAATAAAAGATGACTTGGTGATGGGATACTGGCTTCTGTGGACGTATTTAGGTGGTGATGAGACAAAAAGAATACACTCCTGAAGAAAGGAGCAGGAAGGCTGATGTTTCGGGCCTAGACCCTTCTTCAGAAATGGGGGAG